TCTGGTCAGATATATCCTTCTCCCGAAGCTGCAGATTCAGTGCCATCCTTTGAGATAAATTCTTTCGGGGGAATTTGTATTTCTTTAGTTAAACCTTTTGGTATTTTGACACTAGCAATTCAGTTAAAATCAAATCCATACAGATGTTCATTGAATGATGGTTTTCATAAAGTAAAACTTCAGTATTGAATATCTTATTATTGCCCATTAAACATTTATCACCTAATTCAGAGAGTAAGTCAGAAGCTCACTTCCCAGTAATGAAAAAGAAATGAATAACATTTCTTTGGGTACGGGACAGACTTCTCATGCTTCTTTGAAAAGAGAGGCAGAGGCATGGTGGTACCAGGCAGTGTTCATGGGTTTGGGGAGCTATGAAGACCTGGGATTAAACCCTGACTCTGCCTTTAATAGCATTGCAACCTTGAACCAATTATTTACACTTTTTAAAAGTTAATTTCACATGGAGATAATAATCCCCATGTCATCACATGTTTTTGAGAATGAAATAGCTCGATGAGCAACATTTGTTCATAATAGATGTTTGATCATTCGTAGTTCTCTCTACTATTAAACAGTTGTCTTAATTACCAACACAATTCAGATCAGCTGGTAAAATAAGATTTTTCAAATGAGAAGAAAACTTAAATATCATGTAGCCCAAGTCTCTCAAGTGGTAGATACAGAACCCTGATGTATGGCGGTGAAAAAGTCTTGCCCAAGAACACAAGGCTTGCTGGAGGCAGGGTCAAACTAGGCCAGTGTCCTCTGCACACACAATATCTTTTGAATGCACCACACTGCCTCCTATATTTCCTCTCAGTAGTTAGGGTAAAGATTGCACAAGAAGCCATATAACCATTTTGTCTCCTGCTTATTGTATAAAATATGCTGGCCAATAGTGATTTTGTGTTCTCTCTGCCAGTTACATGTTATAGGAAAACTCCCTGCAACCAGAATGGCAGAGTTGAAGGCCAAGTACACCTTGCTGCACGATACCGTGATCAGGTATGCTCCTTATTGAAATGGGGACAGCTTTCATGCTACTTACATTTCTTACTTGGGATGGGGCTCTATTGGCTTGTGTTCACTCCCAAAACATACCCTGCGCCAAGGATTTGGGTTCAAGCAGCTTAAGACACAATGCTAGTATTCCCTGAGGACCTCATTGCTCTGTTCCCCTTGCTATTCCAGGGAATACCAAAGACAGACTTTGGGGCCAGGATGTGGCACGCCATTAGACTCGACCTGAAAACACTCCTAAAGTTCAACAAACAGACCTTGAACTATTTACAGGCTTTTTTTTTTGTCGTCGTTTTGTTTTCTTTTGTTGATTTGTTTGGTCTTGTTTTTTTTTTATTATCTCTGCA